TAACACGCAGGTCCAGCACACCAACAGTTTCCAATCCAGTCTCTTTATCACAACAAATCCACATAAATTCTAATTAAAGTGAATCAACTTCCTGATGTCACTGATTATTTTAAGAGCAAAACCCTCCAGATCAGGTTAAAACTATTTTCCTTTAAAATGTTCACTTATCTCACTGGAGTCTCCAATTTCAGCCGGCTTCCCTTCTCCAACTGTGTCCTACAGAAAAACAAAGAACATCCTTCCTGTTTTCTCTCCCCTTTATTGAGAAGGGCTCAAATCATTACCAATCAACTACTCTCTGTACTCAACTCTAAATAGCTGGCAGCTGGAGAAGAGCTGCAGAACACAAAGACAAAACACAAAAACACCAAAGCATGCAATAACTCAAATGGAAGATGATGCCACTAGGGCTGGGCGATATGGCCTAAAATTCATATCGCGATATAATTTGAAGCATGTGCGGTAACGATATATATCACGATATTAGAGATGGCACGATACCACTTTTTTATGTCCGATACCGATACCGATATCATAAATTTGGATATCTGCCGATACCGATATGAATCCGATATAGTGTTTTTTAATCAACAAAACTGTTTTTTAAAATATCTTGCTGCATTTTGCAAGTCTGCAAGTTCATACTCAAGTTTAAAACAACAACTACACTAAAGCTATTCTGTTATACCTGTATACAAAAAAAATATTTCATAGTTCAGCAATACTGATCAATCTAATAAACTTAGACCTACACCATCCTCCCTATTCTGGTATTTTAAAGAGTACTTAGCGTAAATATTAAGCAACCTAACTAATAGGGTTCCAACTCCCAGCAACAACAAAAAGAAATAAATAAAAAATAGGGAACCACCCCTCACGCTCCACCTCATGATGCTTAATCGACGTAATCAACCTTAATTTGATGCAGTGTGAAAAAAAATGCACAGAAATCAATTATTTTTCAAGAAATATTAAATAGATTCAACATCTTTCTTCAACAAAATTGCAGACTGCACAGATGGTACCTTCCCAAAGTAAAAAGTACTATAGCTTACTAGGGTATACCCTAGTCTAATATATATATTAGACTTAATAGTCACTATATACAGTAATTGACTTCTATTCATTTTACATCAAATTAAAACTTTGGGTGTCAGATAATTATTTATTAAAAGCTCGACATTTTAAATGAGAATAAGAAAGAAAAGTATGTCTTTGTGCCCCCTTTTCCCTGTTCATGCCCTATCGGCCCCCCTGGCTAAACTTTGCTAGATCCGCCCCTGCACAGTTACCAGCGTCAGCTACGTAGAAAAAGATCCTGGTGTAGAAAGTAATATTAAATAAATTCTAACAACAGCTGATCAAGCTTAAACGTTCTGCTGTTGTTCAGCCGCTGGTTTCCTCTTTCTGGTGCAAAGTGGGCCAAAAACAAACAAGAGACAGGGACTCGCGACAGAAAAGCCGATCAGCTGATCATTTAAGCAGTTTCACGATTGAAGTAGCAGCCGGAGAGCGAGAGGCAGTCGCTTGTTAAGCTTAACGTGGGAATGCTTTACAAACATTCAGAGATGGACTTACACACTTGCTTTACTTCTCTCGGGGATAACTTTGTCGGAGATGAAATGCCGGGTTGCTAGCGAAGCTCCACATGCTATCCAGACCACCGACAGGTCCCGCATGCCACAGCCGCTCTATCACGTGATGCATACTGCTCCGACTGCTAACGTTCTGAGGTGAGTTACGGCGTGTTGCAAGTTTTGCGAGGTGCTTTCGTGATATTTAATGGATCGGATTACATTTTTTTATTTTTCTCTGATATCCGATCCAGTAATTTAGGTCAGTATCGGACCGATACCGATACGTAATATCGGATCGGTCCATCTCTACACGATATATTCTTTTCTTCTGTATAACGTATTTCCCACACCATAAGGCACACTTAAAATCCTTTAATTTTCTCAAAAATCGAGATTGTGCCTTATGTATGAATTCTGGTTGTGCTTACTGACCTCGAACCGATTTTGGCATGCAGAAATCTGTTAAAAGATGTTTTAGTACAACTTTGGTAAGCCGCACTGCTTGATGGATTGTCAGAGCATTACGGCTGCCGTAGTGAGTAACGGAATACAGTTACTCATATCTTGTATTTTAAATACATAACGGCGGTACATGTATTCCGTTACTCCCCAACACTGATTATGGCAGAATGCAGGTCCCAGATACATGGGTTGCCACTAATACATACTAAGTTGTGCTATAAGAAGAATGACTTTATTGATCCCAAAGGGAAATTGCTATGTCTGATATAGCTCATCTGCAATATTATATGAGAATTAAAATATATGACTACTGACTGACTGATAAGAATATCTGGAGCTGATAGAACATCTGGAGTAATGTTCTATCTGTAGCTGTTCTTGATAAATAATGCTATGTAAGAATTAAAATCAAAAAAGGTTTTTTATGATTTCTGTGCTTTTGAGGCTGCAAATGTTATTATTTTCAGATTTAGTTTTTCTGACCAACAATTCATTTTTAATTCACTGTAAATTAATCCGCAAATATCATTTTCCTGATAACAACCCAGCCAGTGTATATACTACCAATGGATGCAGCATAAAAATCTTTTACTGACCTAATGCAATACATATACACTTTGTAGTTAAAGAATTTTAAAGTTCTTACTGTCATCATGGCAGCTACATCCTTTAGCTTTGTGCCCTGTTCCCCCGATCACTTTGCAAACACTTTCAGCAGACTGTCAGAGAGAAACTCAGCTCCGTTAGAAACCTTGACTGTAAAGGCATGGTTGGGATGCACTGGAATGCTTCATTTTATCTGAAATGACATAAAATAATTTTGAAATAACAGCAGGCACTGTGCTTGGTTAATCAGTAATGTTTTGTTGAATAAAAACTGTTTCCAGATCTTATGGGATTAAAAAAAATCCAAAGATGTTTGTTTCTGATTTGCAACCCAACAACCCACAAGTTAAAACCTCATTTTAGTTCAAGTGTGAGTCCAGTAATCACCTTTCTGACAATACATACTGGTATAAGTTAAACCTATATGGCAGATTTTGGATTTCTCAGTTGTATTAATAGGGTGGTCTATTTGAGTATGCATACACCTAATAACTATAAAAACCCTATTATAATTAAGTTACAGAAACCTTAAGCGAAAATAGAATATACTTTCTCACCATAACACCTTGAACCCACAATCCATCAGCTGACTCCTGGTGAAATGCAGAATAGAGGTCATCTCTCAATGTGCAGCAAAAAAACAAACAAACAAAAACAAAAGGACAGCAGGTGAGGGCAGGAGGTGTAGGGATGTAAGCTAGCATAATGCCGCTGATGATATTAGCTAAAGCTGTTCAATGTCCAAAATCTCACTAACACCTCGGTGCAGTAAATACACAATGTAACTGAAGAGTCAGTTGTCAAATCTATTCACACAGAAAACCAAATTATGTTATGAGTGCCTCGTAATTAGGTTTAATGTGATATTACGGCTCTTGTGCCAATGACAAATTCAGATGAAAAAGCGCCAATTCTTTGACAACAGATAAAACAGCAAATAAGTTAGCGGCTCTTTTTAGCATATTACATGATGACACTCTAGATGTTTAACTACATTTAAATAAATATTAATTCAAAAAATCAAGACATACCAAAAAACATAGAGTTGGCTGCTGGACTTGACTGAGATGGATGCCTTTTTTAAACCACGATCCAAAGCCCGCGAGATGAAATCACGCGTGGTTTCACGAGATTTAACGTTGCTATTGTATTGACTTACTTCACCTGAACATGATATGAACAATTTAATACACCCTTTCTGCATATCATGTAGTTTTTACACTATATAGTTACATTTAACTTTAAAACATGAGGCAATTGTGTTAAATACATGCAAGATGCTTACATAAATCCAAGAGATGGCCAGTCCCTTTTTTTCAGTGTACTCCAGGCCAGAACTTTGATCAGTGGGGAGGGTTTATTGACTGGAAGTGGTGAAAGTCACATCTGTTCAGGGAATCCCCTAACTGGAAACACCCACATGCAGTGCTTACTTGAAAGGGCATATTTGCCCATTCCGCGTAGTTTCCAGTCATGGAAAATGTGATTATAATTCCCAGAGTGGGATAAGCCGAGCATTCCTTGGTGTTTGAGCGTGTCTCACTTTAAGGTGCGTGTATGGGCTTGTGATCCTGTTGTAAAATTAATTCTGTCATGCTGGATCACAGTGTAAAAAGTGTCTCTGATGTGATAATGAACTTCACATGTAATTTTTCACCTACAAGAAATAGTAGAAACTGTATATTAGAGAACACCAAGCTCACATTTCAGTGCCACTTTATCTGCTATACCTGAACTAATAATAAAACTATTGCAAGCAGGCATTACAAGACAATCCACCAAATGGGGGCTCAAGCATGTGACCCTAACATTACTAAGTCAGAATCGAACTTACCGATCTTGCCCGTTTTAATATGAAATGTCACAGGCTCAGATTACCTTAATTATAAAGTCATAAGGAGGATCATCAGGCACGTCTGTTCAGATCTGTATAAACAAGCTCTCACAATACAGATATATTACACAGGTACACTGCTGAAAATGTACATAAATGATATGAACATCTGTCATCCATCCATTCTCTTCTGCTTATCTTTAGCTTAAAGATTTGTAGCAAATTTTCTTATGGCTGAAACACATTTAAATAACATAAACAAGAAAATGTGCCTAAACATGGGTGTTCATTTCTAATTTTGATCTACCGAGTGGCTTTTAGTGATATAGATTTCTATGTTACATCTACACCCCGTCAGCATTAACATGTGGTTGTTTTGTTCAGGTGAATGTGTAGCTTTTCAAGTCTGCCTGTTGAAGTAACAGTCGCACTGCTGTTGTTGTGACTGTTATGTAAGCATGGACCCCGGGCGGGTCCAACATGAGAGACGGGAAACAGGCTGGTGACGAAGCATGTGTGCATGAGAGAGAGAGAGAGAGTGAGAGAAACAACCATACCGGCAGCTTCGAGCTGATTACACTCCAACGGCCAGCACACACACTTTTGTGAGGTAAGCAAACACTTTCATTACTACTAACAATTTTAACTTCCTTGCTTTAGGATATGCTAAGGTTCTAAATAGGTATACTCCAAGTTAAGTGACAGAAAGAAGAACTAGGGTGAGAAGATAACTTATAAACTTTATAAAGGCTTTACAGATCTGTTTACAGATCTTCTCAGATCTCTTCCATAGTTATTTCCACAGCATCTGGAAAACAGAACAGTTAAAGATAGCAATTCTTTAAACTCATAGTGGATCGAATCAGTATTCAATTTGAATTATTCAAGAATTATTATAAGACTTATTCAGGATTTTAACACTTTGATTTGATATGAGCTCAAGCTGCAAAATTATAAACTTCCTGTTTAGAAGATATGATTCAAAGTGAAACTCGACTGAGCAGTTACAAATATTGGTGAACATTTGTAGCAATTCTATGTGAACAGGCTCTCTACTGAAGATGAATGTGGTGTGTCTCTGTTGCTCTCAGACATGTTTAAAAACATGTCAGAGATGCTACAACTATACTCTTGACAGACAGATTGTTATACTGTTGGCACTGTAACACCATGTGACTTGTGTTCACTTTGTCCTTTTGCTGTTTTTTTAGCTGTTATTTCTTATTCAGCCACTGAGTCTGTCAAGGACATTGTGAGAAGTGTTGCACTGTGCAAAAAGTCCTTAAATGACAAGATGATTAAGTTTGATAACCAGGAATTATTTGATAACAATCTTCACAGGTAATCAGTGTCATATTCAATTTCATCTGAAACTTCTTCTGACAAGTTCCTGTGTTATCGGTCCACTGAAAGGCTTCTAAGTTGATAGCTTTCTCCAGCAACCAGCTGGCTCAAAACCAAAGGAAACATGCAAGCCTGAGAAAAACAAAACGCACAGCATTCTGTTCTTTTGAACAACCAGTGATGAGAGAGCAGCATTTTAACTGATTTCATAACTCAGTGATTCCTGAGATTAGGGACAAAACAGGTTTTAATTTTCTAAAATATATTTTTTGATTTTTTAAAAACATATTTACATATAATTGTTACACAAGGTTTTGGCTGTCTCACCATGTTTTGGTACAATCTCCCAGGTGTAACATTTTTTAATAATTTATGTTTTTGCTGGAGAAGTGCAAGGTTTTTGTCAACACCGTCAGACACAAAGAAATGCAAAAATATATATTTTAAATTAAGTTGTTTCAGCTACTTTGACTATTAGCAGCTTCTCTATTCTATTGTTTATGCACATATGTTTTCAAAGTAATTATACCAGGTTTAAAAGTAAGATTGTTTTGGCTTTTTATTATTAGAGTTACAGTCATACATATTTTCAGAAGCTTGTATTTAATCTCTATAAGAAACAATCATATTAAGCAGAATGCAAATTACACATTGAGAAAATTACGTATTTTTATAGGAAGATCATGAGGGAGGAAAATATATGGTTTTCCAAAAGAGAAAAATAAACAAAAACTCCATATTATGGAGTTGACAAGGTGCTGACGGTGGTGACACAAATCTGACGGTGTTGACACACTAGTAGAAAACAATATATTTCTTTCAAAATGACCATTAAACCTTAGCAACCTTTGTAATATCACAAGACACATCATAACAATTCTGTTTTTGCACATGTCAAGTTCTACATCTTAATAGTTCACCAGCAAGTAGCTGCCTACTACTCCTTGATTCCTAAAGTTCTGTGGTTGTGTGTTTAGACCCTGCTGGACTTTCTCTCCTTTTGTCTCTGTGCTTGTTTCCAAAACCTTCTCTTCTGACTTTTTTCTCTTTCTTTCAGATCACTGATGTTCTTTATTTTTCTCTTTTTCACTCTATTTCTCCATCTTTCCCTTTCCTTTATGAGAAACTCTTTCTTCAACTCAGGCTGGCTGTTAACTTTTTCTCTCCTTTTTTTTTATCATCCCTGTTCCTTCTCTTTCATTCCTCTACTGACAGCTTCCCCTGTGCTATTGTAGCCTGAAATGTACCATTTTGTAATTACTATAATTTTTCTGAACCTTATGCTTTTTTACAGATTAAGGATGAATATTCACAACACAATTATGCATTAAGCAATAGAGATGCTATCCGGTCTTTAAGTCTGATGTCATTAGCCGTTTCCAGGTCCAAACTCCGCTGCAGATCCCAAAGTCAAAGGAACTCTGCGGCATCACTGAGAGTTACAATCTGTCTAAATTCTTTCATCTTTAATAAAATGATCAGTGTGGCTGCTCTACCAGGTGTAACATCCAGGCATCCATGAAAACAGAATATATGAAATTTAACAGAGTTAAAGTTAGATTGCTTGTTTCCACCTGAACATGATAAACCAACTCTGCTACCACTTCCAACATAAATAGAGACAGAAAATTGAACAGCAGTGACTATTGTCAGGTTACTGAAGTTGGGCTAGCTGGTATATAGTGATGTGCTACATGATCGCTAGTGACACAGCTATGTTAGCATAATATAAATACAGTGAAGCTGGAGGATGAATGCTAACTTTTTACCACTTGATAAAAGTTAACGTGAGGGTTCCCGATGGTTAGGCTGACGTGATCACTGACTGTTTTTAGGCAACACGTTCTCACTCCCAAAGCGTAACATTTTACGCTAGGTGACAAATCGTCAGCATATTACGCCTCGGGAGTGAGAACGGGCTCTTTTAGGGGCTTGTTCTGATGTAATAGAACAAGATAAAAAGCATTAAAACATTTTAACAGCACAACAGGCTTAATAAACACAGAGTAGTTTGGGCCCGGAAGCAGGATTCATACATCATCACTTAAAGACCAACTCTCGAGGCACAGCTAGCTCAGTAGACGCCACATGATTTGTAGCTGCCCACTGCATCACTGAGTGAATGGGTTAAATGCAGAGGACTAAGCATTTTCCTACAGGATTAATAATATAAACATAAACAATGAGATTCAAGATAAGACAAATTTGATAATATTTGACACATCTGTGAAGCAGAAATATCAGTAAAATACACAGGACGTAATATATCTGAAATATTAGTAAAAAAATAACTTAATATAAATGGTGAATAGCACACGTTTGTGGCATTTGTCAACACCATTAGGAAAAGGGTCAACACCGTCAGACAAAAATCCTGATGGTGTTGACAAAATACCCGACTTTGTCTCATAACACATGTTTATCTGACAGAAGCCATCTTGTTTTTCATCAGTTGCTTATGGCTTTTACAATCTACCTAAATGAAACTCCTTTTACATAAAAATAATTAAATATTGCATTACATCAACTTTGGTGTTGATGCACTATGGTTGTGACAAAGAGTTTTATCAGAAAGGTATGCAATAAATGACATTAAAATTTAAAAAAAATTATCACAGCAGTGACCTCATGGCATGTGTATCAAACAGGAAGTGATAAAGGGGTCCTCAGAGTGTAAGCTACCCACAATAATTCCTGATTTTTGATGTACTTTTAAAAAAATCTGATGGTGTTGACAAAAACTCTGGACATGATTTTAATCACTTAAAAAATATGTAAAAATAAATTTCAATTGCATATTTTGATATTAGGTATTGAATTAAATACTTAGTGACGAGAGCCATGATGTTTAATTTTACATTACTTTTAATTTTTTTTTCTGTATTTTAATATTATCACACCTGCTTCTGGACAATGGATTTTTAAGGTACTGGTAATGTATTGTACCATTTAAAATAAATAAATATGTATAAAAAATGCAAAATCATATAAAAAATTGCCTTGGTTTGTGTAAGGAAGAGGACTCCCTTACTGCATTTATTTATATTATATTATCTGTATAGCACTTTAGAGCACACCTTTCACTTTATTAAAAGCACCTTATCAAGCACTTTATTTAGCATTGCACTTTAAGCATGGATTTGCACAAAAGAAGTTTAAATATTTATTGACTATTTATTGGGAATTTTAAAATCAGTTGGTAGCCTTATTTCAGATCCTGCACAGCTGCTCATCATCAAGGAATGTGGTAGATAAATATAAGAATAAATAAATACATTTTCACATTTACATATTAATAAATATTTCACACTTTAATGTTACACCAAACCCAATATTATAAAAACCCAGAAACCCAAGCACAAAAAGATTCACCACACTCTCTTTACCAATGGTCTCTCCTGGAACCTTTAAATGGTGTCTGGACCCCCGGGGATAGTGATGGGCAGATGAAACTTCATGAAGCACTGAAGCTTTTCATCCAATTGGTTCACCCCAGCGCAAAGCTTCTTGAAGCTTCATTTGCTCTAGTAGGACATCTACTGGACGTAAAAATATTAGTTGGCAAGAATTTGAAATGTGGCCTTTTGCACACAGCCTGTAAATGTCAACAACAAAAGGAATGTGTAAAACATGTATATTGTAGTGATGGCAGTATACTGTGTATATTTATACTGGCAGTATGGAAAATGATTATTTGGAAATGCTTAAAATGGAAATGATCATTTACTGTGAGGTGAGGTGTGGTTGGAGTATGGACAGTAGTTGTGCTTTTGTAACGTTGAGGTATGGACAGCTACACACTGAGCCTCAGTCCTGCCTATTCACATTTTATTCTGTAAAAACTAAATTTTCACTGCTTTTATGACCTTTTTAGTGGGGAGAACATAGCTAGGATTTAATGGTTTAACAAATCTTTTGAATCCTTTGTCCTCCACAATGCTAAATGGCTGTGAGTCCTCAATCACCATGGTAACCAGGTCTTCATCTATTTGAGATTGTTCTCCTGAGGAAAGACAATAAAGACAAAGCACAGATATAAATATCACACACGTAACTTATTACAGCTGTATAATATTGTTATATCATGTAGTAACATTACTGCATGCTATATTATCATGGCATTTGATGGCTCACCTGGTCTTGCTCCACAATCGGTGTTCCCCTTATTCTCATGCAAAGCTCTGTAGTGCCTAAGCATGGATGAGGTGTTGTTGTTATATCCCAGCTGCCTGGCACATAGCAAACACTTCACCTTGTACAAAAGTAAAGCCGCTTAACATAAATTGTATTGCACCATCAGTATTATGAAAATACATCTTCTGTAGAAATGTACATACCTTGTTGGGAGGAATAAGATCAAAATGTTCCCACACAGGGGAGGACATCCTCCTCTTCTTAGCTGGCTCCATTCTCTCCTGACTTTCTCTCCTCACTCTCATAAACCTCCAAACTCTCACTAACCGCAACTCTCCATCAAACACCCACATTTTTGAATGAAGTCTGAGGGGTTTATATCGCTGTCATAGCTCGCGGCAAAGTTCGAAACACTTCATGAACCAGTCACGTGGTACAGCCGGGCAGTGAGGCTTCGGCGTCATCATTTTCAGCTCCTCCCATAAATGAAGCAAGCCTCGATACGCGCATCGCGGAAACGCCCCCTCCATTACTCGATACAGAACGTCACATCACTAGTTTCCAGCCGCTAAGGGCCGCCCTGTTGCGTTTAGTGGTTGAGAGGAGGCGGCAAAACACTTAGCAGGGTAGCCAAAAGAATACACACTCACGCTGGCGTTGGGGATTCCACAGTGTGTTCTTTAGTATACCTTCTCTTCATCAACCATATAAGCCCGGTTGAACGGCTGCAGCTTAACAAACATAGCGCACAGTGTTCGTACAACCCATAACGTTGCAAACAAAGGTGTCTGGAGAGGTAAAACATAAAATCCGTCCCTCCTCATCTACTAGCGTGCAAGCACATGTCCACACCATCACAGAGAGAGAGAGCAGAGCAGTGGCACAAACCGATGACACCATCAACCCTCGACTTGGGTGTCTTAAAGGGACACCACACCATAGTGGCTGTTGTCTTTTAGGCAGTTGGGTTAACACTTGTATGCATATTTTTAACAACAAAATTGGGTTTTATCTGCCGGACATGTTTTGTCCCTTATCTCAAGAATCACTGAACTGTCACATTATTTGTGGAACAGACAGGGAGAAGCACTTTAAGCTGTTGAGGCCATGGTAAAAGCTTATGTGCAGGACTGACAGTGTATGAGTAAAGCAAGTCAAGTTAGTGTAATTAAATATGAAATATATCACATGATTCAGAACAGTGTGGTTTGGCTTTGAATGTCCTATGTCTCTCTCTCTCTCTCTCTCTCTCTCTCTCTCTCTCTCTCAGCTAATGGATGCTTTCCAGCTTCTCTTTCTTGTTGCAGTGGTGACATCCATATCAGAATGGAAATCAGGTGGTGTATACAGTACACGATTCATCTGCATGTGCTAAACCGCACATCTTACACCTTACAATGAAACCTGGTGAAGCAGCACACCCAGTATTAATCAGGCTCAAAAGGCCGCTGATGTGAAATGCATATCATGACAATTTTGAGCAAGTTGTAGAAAAAGTTATATCAAAGGTTATCATTGATGGGTCAGCAAAACATCAAAGCCAAAATGTAGAAGGTAAAAATGTATGGCAAGACAGAAAGGCGTTAAAAATCATTGAAAAACATTAAGGCAAAAAAGAAAAGGAACATTTCATAAACATTTTCATTTCATCGTACAGCATTGTAGCATCTGCAACACACCTTTCACATTTGCATTTGCACTTATCATCACCTCTATCTGCTTCTCCCTCAGTTTCAGATTCTGGCAAATCACAATGTGAGATCATGAATGAGGAGAGCATTACAGTGCTTGAAGGGGAGTCTCTTTTTTATGTACCTTTTATTTTAGAACCAAACTTCAACAATAAAAATTTTACATGGTACAAATATAGCACCCAAATTCAGAATATTTCCTCTGATAAGAAAGCCAGGGTGCATTACCAAGGCGAAGCACTGTTTCTCTTAAACCTCAACATTTCTGATTCTGGAGATTACGCTGCTTGGTAAGAATCATCTCTACGAAATATGTTACAAAATTTCTATCTAGCATCTAACATTAGTGATGGTCTGGGTTTTCTTGAACTCTAAAACAATTTTCTTCTTTTTTTGTCTCTTTTTTTGTTAATGTGCTTCCCACTCATTGATTCACTTTTAGGGAAATCAAGTCTTCAGGACAATGTTTTAACCACCCTGTGAAAATTGAAGTGTTCAATGCAAGTTACAGAGGAAGCAAGATGTTAAACTACGGAGAAATCAAAAACTCTGACCAGAGCAAAAAGGTCCCATGTCCAGAACGAGTCAAAAGCACATGTAGTGCATTCAAAGGAAACATCACCTGGTACAAGGTAGGCCAAAAAGCCCAGGTCAGCTTCCTGTTTGTTTGGCAAACTTGCAAACCTGCACCATTGCCTTAAATGCATCCAGGAAAGTCTACAGGTCATCCACCTCTGCCACTACACAAAGGCTAAGTGACATCATGGAGCCCTGCTTTCAAAAACGGACATAGATGTGTGGCTGTGAAGCTGGATTTAAGAAATACAGTTTTAAAAATCATGTTCAGTGTGATGATTCATGTCATCTTATGTCAGTATAGAAGTTGATACTTTAGTTTATGTTAGCTAACTAGGGACAGAATCAAAACTCAGAGGAAAATAACTGCACTTGAACCAGTGTTGGTCAAGTTACTTGAAAAAAGTAATCAGTAACTAATTACTGATTACTTCCCCAAAAAAGTAATCCCGTTACTTTACTGATTACTTATTTTCAAAAGTAATTAATTACTTAGTTACTTAGTTACTTTTTAAAAACACGATTTACAACCTGAATAGGTGATAAAGCGATAGATCTTTCAGCCCAATTCTACTTTTTCTGCATAATCCATCATACAAAATGTAATCAAATGGAAAAGTCTCTTTTTAAAACTTGTTTTATTAGTTTTAAGCTTTTAACTTTATGCATCAAGCAAAAATTAAATTATATGCACCATTCTCTGACTTGAAGAAATTAGTTTAACATTTAAACCTATATTCTGCACATTCCAGCACATAAAATATTTTTTGTTTTTACACTCAGTCTTTCAAATAGATGCAAGTAAAACACAGCAGAAAATAAATAAAATCAAAGACTAGCGGTCCTGTTGCTCTATTTTCACCTGTATAGCAGGAGTGCCGCAGCGGTCAGTTGAAGAATCCGCAAGTTTCTCTGTGAATTTCCCATTACGTCGTTGCTCACTCGGAGCTTGTTTAGGGGGGAGGGGGGCTTACGGTGGCCCCTAGAGACAAAGCACGTTACAAACTCCAAAACACTTGCAAACTCCAAAACACTTGCAAACTCCAAAACACGTACAAACTCCCTATAAAGGTGTGTGTTTGCCAGTTGTTTGTTACGCTGAATGATTTGGTGCTTGGCCATTTTGAATACACGTTTTTTGGGGGGGGATTTTTCTGACTTTTCGGTAATCGTTTTTGGATCAAGGCCATTGGATTAATTGATGGTATGACCCTGCCTGGTTTATGACTCTGGATACTTTGCTAAAAAGGTGCAAGAGCTAGTTGCCAACCAGCATCAAGCTGCAAAGCTGAGAGGTGCCAGAACTGACTGCTGATGGTAATAAGTACCAGTACTAACCAGTGAAACCAGTGGGGCAAAAGATGATTCCACTGGCCCTGGAAGTTGATGACATTAAAATGTTGCTTGACTTCTGAACAAAGGAATTTTATTTAACTTTTTAAACATTGTCCATGTTAATACCAGTGTACATTTTTATGTAAGATAAAAGTGTTGGTTTCATTGCTATAGCAAGAACCTGATTGCAAGTTAATAAAAAGGGAGCTACTTTAAAAACTTCTAAACTTTTACAATACAACAATTACAAACTAAGCCACAATGATGTAATTGACAGGGCCATTGTGATGATTTACAAAACAGACCATGTTCATTGAAGTAAAATGTGTTGCTTTCCCTATTTGTGCCCTTCTTGGTGCAGGACTATACTCTTATTGAAGATCAGCATGAAGTCGAATTGAGAGTGCATAATGCTACCAAAGACCACGAGGGCCTCTACACCTGTATTTGTACCTGGGCATACAATAATAAGGTGTACAGTACGTCAGGTTCGAGGGAACTTCTACTTCTAGGTGAAACTGCATTCTTTGGTGTTTAGTTCTGGATACCAACACAACACATTGCGACACCAACATAAACTTGACTTTATAAGTGAAATTGTAATGGCGTGTTGATTTAACATGTTTAATAATGAGCCAGAGCTAAAGATTTGTATGTATGTCACAGGTTTTCCTGATTTTTCAAAACAATACCCATATTATAGCATACCAAATGTCCTATTAGAGGATTAAAAATGTCTCACTCTTTTTGGTTGCTCGCAGAAAAAGCTGTGCACTACCTAGAAATTTTGACCCCAGCTGATGAGTCGCAGGAGCAGTTTGCTGATGAAGGTAATAAAATCTCATCTTCATGTCAACATGTTGCTGTCATAACAATTCAATTCAATTCAATTTTATTTATATAGCGCCAAATCACAACATAAATCGCCTCAAGGCGCTTCATAGATACAGAGAAAAAAACCCAACAATCATATGACCCCCTATGAGCAAGCACTTTGGCGACAGTGGGAAGGGAAAACTCCCTTTTAACAGGAAGAAACCTCCGGCAGAACCAGGCTCAGGGAGGGGCGGGGCCATCTGCTGCGACCGGTTGGGGTGAGAGAAGGAAGACAGGATAAAAGACATGCTGTGGAAGAGAGACAGAGGTTAATAACAGATATGATTCAATGCAGAGAGGTTTGTTAATACATAGTGAGTGAGAAAGGTGACTGGAAAAGAAAAACTCAATGCATCATGGGAATCCCCCGGCAGCCTACGTCTATTGCAGCATAACTAAGGGAGGATTCAGGGTCACCTGGTCCAGCCCTAACTATATGCTTTAGCAAAAAGGAAAGTTTGTGTTAGGTGTGGCTGTGTGCAGGCAGGAATAGGACCCAAGGTGCAGACTCCGGAGACAGACGTGAACTCAAAAAAGGCTTTAATTTAATACTCAAAATATAACAAAACTAAAAAAAACTCAAAACAAACTTAAACTAGAGAAATGACAGAACACACAGCTAAGAAAACGGTAGATCGCGACACAGACACTAAGAAACACAGGGCTTAAATACACAGAGGGAGCAATCAGGGAATGAGTAACAGGAGGGAAACACAGCTGGGACAAATTAGAACTGACGAGACCAAAGAAGCGTAACCTGAACAAACTGAGATAAGACAGAGACCTTCAAAGTAAAACAGGAAGCACATAACACAGACTGAACAAAGACGCAGACTCACATGCAGGCACTACAAAGGGAACAGAGACGTGGGACCAGGGCAGACACAAACACTGACTGGACACGGGGATATAGGAACTAAGGATACACATAGACGCGAACTAGACAAGGGGATGCAGGTGATAGGGGAGACAGAGCAACTAAAGAAGACAGAGACATAAACCATAAGACAGAACTCAAAGAAACCAAAGACTAGAAAGTATAAATAATATCGTAAACTCAAAAACCCTGGGTCAACGACCCAGGCATCCTAACAGTTTGAAGCCTAATCTTAAAAGTAGAGATAGTGTCTGTCTCCCGAATCCAAACTGGAAGCTGGTTCCACAGAAGAGGGGCCTGAAAACTGAAGGCTCTGCCTCCCATTCTACTTTTAAATACTCTAGGAACAACAAGTAGGCCTGCAGAGCGAGAGCGAAGTGTTCTAATAGGGTGATATGGTACTACAAGGTCATTAAGATAAGATGGGGCCTGATTATTTAAGACCTTGTATGTGAGGAGCAGGATTTTGAATTCAATTCTGGATTTAACAGGAAGCCAATGAAGGGAAGCCAAAACAGGAGAAATATGCTCTCTCTTTCTAGTCCCTGTCAGGACTCTTGCTGCAGCATTTTGGATTAGCTGAAGGCTTTTCAGTGAGTTTTTTGGACATCCTGATAATAATGAATTACAGTCGTCCAGCCTGGAAGTAATAAATGCATGAACTAGTTTTTCAGCATCACTCTGAGACAGGATATTTCTAATTTTAGAGATGTTGCGCAAATGGAAGAACGCAGTCTTACATATTTGTTTAATATGTGCATTGAAGGACATGTCCTGGTCAAAAATGACTCCAAGGTTCCTCACAGCGTTACTGGAGGCCAAGGTAATGCCATCCAGAGTAAGAATCTGGTTAGATACCATATTTCTAGGCTTTTCAGAGCCGAGTACAATAACCTCAGTTTTATCTGAATTAAGAAGCAGAAAGTTAGCGGCCTTCCAGGTCTTTATGTCTTTAAGACATTCCTACAGTTTAACTAATTGGTGTGTGTTATCTGGCTTCATGGACAGATAGAGCTGGGTGTCATCTGCATAGCAGTGAAAATGTATGCTATGTCTTCTAAAGATACTGCCTAAGGGAAGCATGTATAATGTAAACAGAATTGGTCCTAGCACTGAACCCTGTGGAACTCCATAATTAACCTCAGTGTGTGAAGAGGACTCTCCATTTACATGCACAAATTGGAGTCTATTAGATAGATATGATACAAACCACTGCAGTGCAGTACCTGTAATACCTACAGCATGTTCTAATCGCTCTAATAGGATATTATGGTCGACAGTATCGAACGCTGCACTGAGGTCTAGCAGGACAAGCACAGAGATGAGTCCACTGTCAGAGGCCATAAGAAGATCATTTGTAACCTTCACTAAAGCTGTTTCTGTGCTGTGATGAGCTCTGAAACCTGACTGAAACTCTTCAAATAAACCATTCCTCTGCAGATGATCTGTTAGCTGTTTGACAACTACTCTTTCAAGGATTTTTGATATGAAAGGAAGGTTGGAGATTGGCCTATAATTAGCTAAGACTGCTGGGTCTAGAGATGGCTTTTTGAGTAAAGGTTTAACTACAGCTAGCTTGAAGGCCTGTGGTACATAGCCGATCATTAGAGATAGGTTGATCATATTTAAGATCGAAGAATTAATTAATGGCAGGACTTCTTTGAGCAGTTTTGTAGGAATGTGGTCTAAAAGACACGTTGATGGTTTGGAGGAAGTAATTATTGAAGTTAACTCAGAAAGATCAATTAGAGAAAAAGAGTCTAACTTAACATCAATGGTACTAAGAGTAGCTGTAGATAATATTACATCTGTGGGATGATTACTGGTAATTTTTTCTCTAATGATAAAAATTTTATTGGTGAAGAAGTTCATGAAGTCATTACTAGTTAACGTTAAAGGGATTGTTGGCTCAAAAGAGCTCTGACTTTTTGTCAGCCTGGCTACAGTGCTGAAGAGAAACCTGGGGTTGTTCTTATTTTCTTCAATCAGTGATGAACAGTAAGATGTTCTGGCTTTGCGGAGGGCTTTCTTATAAAGTAGCAAACTATTTCTCCAGGCTAAATGATGATCCTCTAGATTTGTGACACGCCATTTCCTCTCCAGATTACGAGTCATCTGCTTTAGGCTACGTGTTTGAGAATTATACCACGGAGTCAGGTACTTCTGATTAGAGGCCTTAGTTTTCACAGGAGCTACAGTATCCAGAGTCGTACGTAGTGAGGAGGTGAAATTATTAACAAGATAATCGACTTCTGTTGGGGTAGCGTTCAGATAGCTGCTCTGCTCTGTGTTGGTACAGGGCATTGAAGATGATAACAGTGGGTGGATTATATTCTTAAACTTAGTTACAGCGCTTTCAGAAAGACATCTACTGTGATAAAGTCTACTCTCCACTGCTGTGTAATCAATTATTGTAAATGTAAATGTTATCAGGAAATGATCAGACAGGAGAGGGTTTTCAGGAAACACTGTTAAATGTTCAGTTTCTATGCCATATGTTAAAACAAGATCTAGAGTGTGATTAAAGTGGTGGGTGGGTTCTTTTACATTTTGAGAGAAACCAATTGAGTCTAATAACAGATTAAATGCCATGTTGAGGCTGTCACTTTTAGCATCTACATGGATGTTAAAATCACCCACAATAATTATTTTTTTTATCTGAGCTGAGAACTAAATCAGATAAAAAGTCTGAGAAATCAGACAGAAACTCTGTGTAAGGCCCAGGTGGATGATAGATGATAACAAGTAAGACTGGTTTCTGAGTTTTACAGCTGGGGTGGACGAGGCTAAGCATCAGGCTTTCAAATGAATTAAAAGTCTGTCTTGGTCTTTCATTAATTAATAGGCTGGTGTGAACAATTGCTGCCACACCGCCCCCTCGGCCTGTGCTTCGAGATTTCTGGTAGTTAGAATGACTCGGGGGTGTTGATTCATTTAAACTAACATAATCATCCTGCTGCAACCAGGTTTCTGTAAGGCTGCAAACACTGCAAATACTTGGTTAATAACAGTGATCCTCTGAAAGTTACTCAGTTAGCACTTAGCAGGACTAAAGTTGCATCCATACAGGGAGTGACTGACTCATCACTTAAGAAGGGGGGAGGTGGAGCAGTGTGTTTTTGGGGACCAGTGCCTGATGATGAGGGTAGCACATCTGTCTAATTAACCTCTCCTCTGGCAGTAGGTGTGGGGGCCAGAAACAAGACAAAGCCAAAAACAGAAAGAGAGAAAGATTGTGTGTAACGCTTTGTGTGAATAAAATTGTTTGTAAAATGCATCCCTCTGCCCTTCCTGGGGAGAGCTCACAGTGGCAGGAGCAACTGCCACACCGGTGCCCAATGTACCCGGTGACCCAGGAAGGAGTGGCGGCTTCTCCAGCACTGTCACCTCCACTCTCTGAGGTGGACTTATTTAAAATGACGGAGGTGGATGACCTGTAGACTTTCCTGGATGCATTTAAGGCAATGGTGCAGGCTTGCAAGTTTGCCACCTTCCGTTTAAGGGAGTGTTGCTGCAATCAGGGCTTACAGGCATCCTAGTGCCAGTGGAAACTAAATACAGGAATAAACATAGAATTAGGGCTGTGTTGCACCCCCTGATGTTTGTTACCGATTGGCTGGGGTTTGACAAACTGGTGGAGGTGTTAAACGAGTGGCCATCGGGAAAGATTTTCAAGGCATCCTATTACTACTCCATAGCTGGTCACATGGAATATATAAAAACTCTGGAAAGAATAATGCCCCAGTTTTACTGACTGTGCATTCAGGGGAATGTGCGCCTTTGTCGTGCATCTTACCCTGTATTCCAGTGGGTTAACCCGTCCTCTTTCTTTCTTCATCCTTCCTTCTTTCCCTCCTTCTTCCCTTCCTTCTTTCCTTCCAGGCTCGGAGATTAAGCTGAATTGCTCAGTTTTGTGTGGGACTAATGTGAAACATGACTGTAATGCCAGCTGGTACATCAATGGAATTCCTTTCAAAAACAGGGATGGTTATAGTCAAACTACCAAAATGTAAGCCTCTTTTATACTTTACACAATGTACACTTAATGTTTTGCTAATCCTTTGAGTGGATTTCAACATGTAGTTTAAGGTGCTTCTAAGGTGTTTTACAGAATAAGTTAACATGACCTCTTTAAGTGCTATTGTTTAAGAGTCACACTTAAGAGAACCTCAAAGATCTGTTGAAAATATGTTAAATAGTAACTGTTATGTATTTCCTCTCATTTGTCTGCAGTGAACCTTTCTGCTGAACTTTGTCTTTGACCCTTTGTCTTCTTTAACAAAACAAACTCTTATCTTCTTTGTTAGAGCAACTGAGGAACCTTCAAAGAATACCATTGCCACTGCAATCCTCACCATTAAAAAAGTGTCTGCTAAGGATTTTCAACAGAAGTTTAAGTGTTTTGGCGAGGGCTATTACGTAACAAAGAATGCCACTTTAACTCTTAAGCGGAAAGGTCAGTCACAGGGCCATTGATTGTTTTTTAGCCTTGCTAACAAAAATGTCTGTTGACTTTTAGCAAAGCATGGAAATGTTATTTTACACTATAATTTTGTGTTTCCTAGAATCCATAATTCCACTTGCCATTGGAGGAGTATGCATGTTATTCGTTGGTGTTTTTGTCGCTGTTTTGGTCAAATACTTTGCCATTGACTTAGCCCTGTTCTTCAGACCCTACTTCCCACTAAGCAGTAGCAATAAAGGTAAGAGAGTAAATATTTTTCTTGGGGGCTTTATTATCTTAGTTTTGTACCAACAGTAAAGGAATGAAGTACAATGCTAATTAGTCAGTTTCAGAGGATAGACCGAGCCAGTTTAGCTGCTACTCCTGCTCCCTGGCTTCAGTGCTATACTTTAAGGAAAAATGCACCAGTTTAACACATCCAAGACTTAAGAGAGGAAGATGTTGTGGTTATAGACCCTGAAATATTATGTCAAAACAAAAGTTACTTCCTAAAATATTCATCAGCTTGTTTGCTACAAAATAGTGGTATCCAGTGGTTTTCAATATGACAAATTAGAAATATAAGAAAAATGCAAGAGTAACCAAATTGAATAACAAATAAGTAAACCTGAAGTGTTTTGGTTCCTTCTGAAGGTTCAAACAATATATAAAAAATGCTGGTTCACTTTGGCTATGGTGAACAAGTAAGCCAAATGCCTTTTGGAGAAAGCTTTTGAGATGGCATGACATAGACTCTATTAATCCCACACTGTGGCAATTCACATATTACAGCAACACAGGGGTCCATAAAGTGCAGTTGGAGCGATAATATATACCCAGTTTTCAGCAGCCATTTATCATGTGTGCATATTCCACAGTCTCAAAACTGGTTTTGGAAAGGTTAAACCAGGCGAATATTAAGTTTCTACATTGGCCTTCCCAAAGCCTGACCTCAACCATATTGAAAATTTGTGAGTGACGCCCAAAAGCGAGATGATATCACAAATTTAAACCTACCAGTTCTGCCAAGTAGGGTGGTCAAACATCCGTCCAGAATTGAGTCAGAAACTTTTTGGGGGCTGCTAAAAGCATCTGGTCAAGGGGCATCTTACCAAATATTAGTGGTAGTATTATTATCATATATTTGAGCCTGTATGCATAATCTTGACTCTGCATTTGTGGGATGAATTGAAACCTGTCCTCCCAATTGTTGTTGGGTTTTTTTTTGTATGTTTCAACTCATTAAAGATGTATACTGTACAATTGTTCCACCGTGGAAAAAGAAAGGTTCAAAGAAGTTAAAAATTACACATTCATGTCAATGATGAGTGTTTGTAACTTCTGACCACAACTGTTCAAACACAAATGACTTATTGTGGTGACAGGGTCACTTTACATCACAATGAGCCGATAAGGAAGAAACATTAATAAAAAAAACTGAGAAAACCTTGTCAAAGAAAGTACACATAAATTTCCACTGATTTGTTTGTTTGTTTCCCAGACACAAGTTTATATGACGCCTATGTGGTCTACCAGACACCAATGGACAAGATCACTGAGGACACACTCTCTCAGTTTATCACACAGACTTTGCCCTCTGTCCTCGAAGATAAGTGCGGATATCGGCTCTTTATCCACGGGAGGGATGACATACCAGGGGAAGGTCAGTGTTTTATGTGCTTTAATTGTAATTTTGGACATCAACAACCAATATATTTTGTATTTGTGATTCAGGTATTTTATTGTCTGCAGTGTTCTTTGTAGCCCAGCTTAAGTGTTAAAGGGATACCAGTGTTGTGCTGCCTAATTTAAAGAGCCATCATGTACCTGGTTTTTTTTGTTGTTGTTGTTTTTTTCTTTTTGTTGTACCACAACAGATCGTCTGGAGTTGGTGGAGAAATGCATGAATCAGAGCAGGAGGCTCATGGTCATTCTCACACCAGATCTGGGATCAGGCTCCATGACGACAGAGCGATGGCCTGCCTCACCCCAAACCTCAGTGATGGGAGGGTTTGACTGGCAGGTGAGAACTGAGACAGGGACTGCCTGGGAGTATGCTCATTGGCCTAATGACCTGTGATTGACAAATCATTATTCAAGGACTTGTAAAGCACCCAAAGTGCTCATCCAAAGGCTTTAAAATTGGACTTCACAAACCAGTGAGTGGGGTCGAGGTAGCTATGTTCATCTTTTATGCTGTCACAATCCACACATCAGAATTCTCTGGCTCACAGAAACCTGGCAGGTTTGCATACTAAGAGACTCACATAAATACGCTTATCCAGCGTTTCCCACTTTCTCTGTCTGTCTTTCTCTGCTTTGCAGGCAACGTGAACAGGGGCCTTTGTAGCATCTTTTTTAAATGGGGGTGGGAGTTGTGGAACCAAGAACAAGGCACACAAGGAGGTCCACAAGAAATTGTAGGGCCTTGCAATATAAAGTGCGTTGAGGCAAGTGTTGTTGTGATTTAACGCTATATAAATAAAATGCAATTTAATTTCACTGAAACTGGAATATTTAGTTAGAGATCAATTCAGTGCAGAATAATTTGCTGTAGAAAGCATTAGACATGGAGTGAGGACCCTGCCAACTGCTTGGCTTTCCTCCTCCTGGCTTTGTAGGAGGCGAACAGGGCAGGAGGCAGGTCCTGAGAGGAAGTACACTTGTTGCCACTGGATAATGGTTTAAGAGGCTTGGTGCTAACATCCTCTCTATTTTCTCCACAGTAGGCAAATTTGTTTTGCTTAATTATCTTTCTTTAAAATATGACTGATTTAGCCACTTCACACTTCTTTTCAATTTCATTTAATTACATACATTTTTGTTCCTTTTATATTTGTCTGTTTGAAATTTTGAGCTGGCTAATGACAAAAGTTTTCAGAATCCTGTGCAGCCCTGTGTCCCATTTCAGATTTATTACATGAAAAGTTGTGTTGCACAAGTATAATTTTGTGTTGGATAACTGTTTTGCAGTGTGGAAAAAAGTATTGAAAAGTTATACTTCTACTTAATTAGCTTAATGGTGCACAGGGTGTATAATCAATATAACTGCACAATATATTTTAAATACTTATAGTATATACCTATTGTGTGGAATTACACTTCAGATTCTTTTATCATTTTAAAAAATACCTACAAGTGGAATCCAAACTGTAATATTTGCATCCAAAATATAGTGGAGTAGAAGCAGAATATGGCACAGCACTTAAATAAAGTGCAAGTAAAGTAGTCAAGTAAATATAAGTTATATTCCTGTACTCTAATTTATTGGTATTGCATGATGTAAGATACTGGTACTCTAGTACAATACCGTCGGTGGGAAAAGTACAATACTTTTACAGCAAATCTAAGGAAACAAGTGCACATAGGGGGGAAAAAATCCTTGTGGAGAAATGTAGCATAACCTCCACACACTGTTACCATTACATTTTTATTCAATTACAACTTTTTGGTCCTTGCAAACTTTGTCAGATACAGAGATAAAGTGTCCATGCAAACATTTGCATCTATGCATGCATTCAGTAAGGTTCGGCCAATTAAGGATGCCTGGCTATTAGACATGTCACACAGACTGAAATATTGGAAATAAATAAACATAATGGTAAATGGGACAATGTGTGGCTGTTATACTATATTTCTCCACAAAGACACTATTTGAAGAAACAGACATTTGACATTTGGGGACCACGGCCATGTGCTACAAGTTCAATACATCCACTCCATATGGCTTTATACACGATGACCATCAACTTTATTTTGGTGTAAGTAAGCAAACAAGCAGTAATAGCAGTTACACATAGTTGAATAGTTGGTGCACAATTGAATATTTTGAATTTCATTTTGAATTTTTCCTTTCAGTTCCATTAATTTATGGTTAGTTTTTACTAATTTAATTGTTGGTTTGAACCTTTTTATTAACATAATGTGGGTGACATGTTAAGAAGTTTAGAAAAGGCATTGCAGTTATCAGGCGTCACTTACCTTGACACTAGCAAAGGTAAGTGACATATCATATCTTAATTTATTCATGTAAATAGGGAGGCTTCTTCACACACTAAGGTTAATTATGGAGTTACACAGGGTTCTGTACTAGGACCATTTCTATTTACATTATACATGCTTCCCTTAGGCAGCATTATTAGAAAGCATAGCATACGTTTTCCTTATTATGCAGACGATACCCAGCTTTATGTATCCATGAAGCTCGATCACATACACAAATTAGTTAACCTGCAGGTTTAATTGAGATTATTTTACTGAGCCATAAAAATATAAGAAAAACAATTTTGTCCATATAACTACCCCTTTTTCACTCTCTGTGTGTTCATACACTGCTCTGCATTTAATCATCAGTTCTTATTAATCTGGCTCTTGTCACACCGTGTTTTTTCTCCTATCTCCCCTAACCCCCAAATGGCTGCGCTTCCTTAATCCTGGTTCTGCTAGCAGTTTCTTCCTGCTAAAAAGAAGTTTTTCCTTCCCACTATCACAAAATCCTTGCTCATAGGAAATTTTCTGATTGTTGTGGTTTTCTCTCTATTGTCATAGGATCTTTACCTTAGAATATAAAGCGCCTTGAGGCATCTGTTGCTGTGTTAATAAGGAATAGATTGATTGTTGTGAAAACAAATGATTCTACTTATATGTGTATTATGGCATCATATTTTTATACTTAAGTTTATTCTATTTTTTCAATGTGTAGCACTACTAGATAGCATTTATGTAAATAAAAATACTAAGTGTACAGTGAAAGGGTGACTAAAGTGTTGTTGATGATTTACCAGGTGGGGCTCCACCATGCATTGGTCCAGAGGGAACTGAGTGTGATTTTGATCCAGCTAGGAGACACGGGGCAACAGCAATACACACACCTCCCCCCGGGCTTGCAGCACCTGATTCGTAAGAGTGCCCCTTTGAAGTGGCCAGAGGGCTCTGGAGGCGCTGCAGCATGGAACTCTCGCTTCTGGAAGAGAGTGAGATACCTGATGCCTGCCACACCTGTCAAAAAATGTGCACAGTCTACTATTATCTAATACATCTTTCAACACGTTTTGTTTAATGTTTTGTACATATATTGGGAAATGTAAGAAAAGGATGATCAGGATTTATCTTTTATAAATCCCAAGAAGCCATTTGTCATGGTCCGGAGTCTGTGAATCCGTGTTTATGTTTTGGTTTATTATTATTCTGTGGTTTTGTTTATTCTGGGTTTCTTGTACTCTCCCTTTTCACGTTTCATGTTCCTATGTTCTGTGTCCCTCAGTCTGTGTTAAGTTTGTGTGTTGTGTCATTACGTGTATGTGTTTCCTGTTTTATTGTGAAGGTCTGCGTCTTATGTGAGTGTTTTCAGTTTGCCTCCCTGGTCTCGTCACGTTAATCACTCCCAGCTGTGTCCCCCACCTGTGTGTAATGTCCCTGTGTTTCTCTGAGTGTATTTTAGTCGTGTCTTCTGTCGTAGTAGTTGCTGGTTCGTCTGTGTTGTTCCCCTCCACTTTCCTGTGCATTTTCCCAGCATCTCTGTTTCACGTCTCAAGGTTTCAGGTTTGTTTTTGCTTAGCTTTTCCCAGTTTAGTTTACTCTTAGGTTTTGGTTTTCGTCCACCTCGCCCCTGTTTGTTTCACCTTTTTGTTAATAAAGCTCACTCACAACTTAAGCAGTCTGCATCTTGGGTCCGTTAATAATTCACACACGGCTTGCCCCGGCATTACTCGAAGCTTTTCAACGCAGTCCTCTCTGGTGACATCTGGTGGCCAAAAATATGAAGAGCTTTACCCTGTGTTCACTTTTAAGAACACTGGGTAAAGAGATGGGGGGAGGGGACAATAGAATCATAAAAGGTGACTGCTGCATGCAAACCACAGAAGTCACGTAAGTCACATTGTGACTACGTTGCTGTTGCTAAATGTTTAATATTAGTGAACTTTTTCAAAACCACATATAATTTCATTAATAATGTTTATGTCAGGCTGGTGTTCATCGGCGTAACTTTGTGCTGAACATCGGGGGGTCAAGATCTCTGTCTAAATAAATAAATCTGGGTGAATTCCCAGATGATTAAACATGCAACTATTTTGTTGGTAAAACCTGAAGTGAGTAAAGAAAATTAACAAGATAATGCACGATAATAAATAATCTTATTAGGGGGGATTATATTGGTTGGGTCTGATTATTGGGGGGGGTCATAACGCCCCTAACCCCCCTAGAAATTACGCCTCTGCTGGTGTTGCATATTCTTAGTTTGTTGGTCTTTTCTTTCTTCCAAGGTTTTATTTTCTGCTTCTATTCCATTGTCTGCTCTTCTCCTCTAGTTGAAGCTTCTGTTCTTCAGTTTGTTTAATTTTGTTCTGTAAATGTTTCAAATGTTTCTCTGGTCGAACATTTGAAGTCTGAGAAAACAACTGCTGCGAACAAACCGACTAAAAATTGCTGCTTGATCTAAGATTCTAAAGGCGTCACTCACTAAGCCAATGCGATTGTCGATTGACATTTTTGAATGGGGATATTTGTTTTAGCCGGTTTTCAAATTTAAGGTAATATTTTAGTGTTTCTTAGTTTTAGATTAGTTGGTTAGTCTAGTTTTTTGCTTAATTTAATGAATAAAAATAACTGCAAGCAAACTAGTGACAAAGATGATGATGAATAATGAAGGGAACATGAATGTCTGCACCCGATGTAACTTGCAGATTCATTGAATGGTGTTAAAAATCAGGATTTAAAACCAAAACTGACCTGGGAAGAAAGAGAAATATATTTTTGTTTTATTTTTGTTTATTTTTTTTTTTAATTTGTCTTCTTCTTCCTTCTGGGATTTGGATACAACGAGTAAAGTATGAATATTATGCACAAAAATACACTATTACCCATTTCTTGTTTTTAAATCAAATTCAAATCAAATTCAAATTTTATTTGTCACATACACAGTCATACACAGTACGATATGCAGTGAAATGCTTACACAACTGCTCATGACCTAAAGAAAAAAGAAAAGGCTATGAATAAGATAGGAAATAAATATGAAAATTAAAAAGGGTAAATTTAACTAGGAAGGAATAAAATAAAATATAAAAATTAAAGTTAAAAATGAAATAACTGTACAACACAAATTAGAATGAAGGGTAAATTTAAATGGGAAAGAATAAGATAAAATATATAAATTAAAGTTGAAAATAAAATAACTGTACAACAAAATACACAATACACAGTATAGAAATATATAAGAATGTATGAAGAAATATAAATATATATATACACACAATAACAGCAGCTGTACAAGTATTAAATGGAAATGAAGAAATATAATGTCCAGTGTTGTGCAATCCACATTTGTAAGTGTCTTGTGCAGTGCAAATATGCTTAAAGTGATATAATTAAGATGAATTATTCTTGAATGAAGACACTGATCTGACACATGTTAAATTTAACAAATTATGTTTATTGTCCCCCCCATCTCCCTACCCTGTGTTCACTTTTTAAAACACAGGGTAGAGAGATGATGGAGGAAATGAAAGGGGGGGGGGGGGGGGAGAAGAGGGTAAAGGAAAGGTAGAAGGCAGAAAAAGAAGGGATAGAAAGAAGGAAAAAGAAAGGGTAGAGAAAACCCCAACGATCCCCTCTGAGCAAGCACTAGGCGACAGTGGGGAGGAAAAACTGCCTTTAAACAGGCAGAAACCTCCGGCAGAACCAGGCTCAGGAGGGGCAGTCAACTGCCGGGACTGGTTGGGGGGTGAAGGTGAAAAAAGAAAAGGGATGAAGAAGGGAGGGGAGAAAGTAATTGATGGAGAGGTGTTTGGAGAGAAGGGGACAGAGGGCAGAGGAGAGCTGAAAATTTAGATGGAATACAGGAATTGTGTGAATTGTGTATTGATCTTGAAAGACTGGATCGTTTCTTTCTTTCAAGATTAAAAAAAGTTGGTGACTAAGTATTTGGTCTGAATGGCTTGGCGATGGCTCTGCCCAGTGCGCAAAAGAACCTGACAATGGCAGAACGCTTCGCTTTTGGTTTTCCCAGACGATCTTTTAAACTAGCCAAAATGCATTTTGCAGTTTCACTTTCTTGTAATTCCATTGAAACTATAACACGTTCTATAAAGCCCATGGTGTTGTAGAGGTCTTTCAGAAGTTTTTTGTCAATAGTTTTAAAAGTTTTGGGTGTAATATAAATCTCTTCATCCTCCAGTTCTGCCCATACATAGTCCAAGAGCCAAGTGACGATGTGACTTGGGTCTTAATATGTGCACGGCAGGTTTGCCTTTTTAAAGGTTGTAGAGATTAATCAATCAATCAATCAATCAATCAATCAATCTTTATTTATAAAGCACTTTTCATACAAAAAAAATGTAGCACAAAGTGCTTTACATATAGCAGCCCACCCCACCCTCCAACTCACTCCCCACACTCTCATTAACATAAATGATGTGAATACACACATATCCCCCCCCCCCCCCTCCCCACACACACACACACACATACACACACGCGCACACTTAAAGAGTAAAAATTGGGCTGGGCTCGCATGAGCCAAGTGAGGAAACACTATAACAAGGAGCCGTCTGCACCGGGAGCTGGTCACAGACCGCAGCCTCCAGGCTGGGCACACAGCAGGAGGGAGGCCAAGGAGCCCCCCAGCCAGGCTGAGAGGACCCCCAGAGACCCAGCAGCCACAGTCGATCACAGCCCCGGTGCAGAGAGCGCCCTCTGAGGAAACACTGGAGATATGACACAATAGGATATATACAGGGTAAAATGATAAAATAAATAAGAACAGGATACAATATAAATATAAATATAAATAGAGTAAGAAGATTAAAAAATGAATAAGAATAAAATCAATAAATATTAGGTAAAGTCTAAATTAATAATAGAATAACAGGATAGAATAAATAAGCATAAAATAAATAAACGCTAAGTAAAGCTTGTGCAGGATGAGCTTAAGCTTTGCTTTTTTCCTGCTTTTCTGGCTTTACATTAATAACGCGTTAGTCCCAACACTGATCATAATTAATCTAATTAACCATAATTGACTCCCTGGAGGACAGATAATGATGAGATGAGATGAGATGAGATGAATTGCCCACAACTGAGACGACAGACCTTGCTGACCATACATAAAATACACAAACATCATATTGGAGAGACAGGCCAGGTTAGGTAGCAAAGGAAAAAACAGTGAAATGTGTAACACAAAGGGATAATCCAGGAATGCACAGATATCATCACACCATAACACAATAAAACACAGACAAACAACATTCCGGTGTGCACAGCTGGATCTGGGACCGCTGCAATATTTGATCGCACCTCCAGCTGATACGCTGTCCACATCAGATGGGAGGTAAGCATGGGAGGAGGCATTGGATTTGGGGAAGGGAGGGTGACGGTGAGAGTGTATCAGTATCAGTGTACATGTGTGTGTGCGTGTGTGTGTATCCCGTGTTCAGCTGAGAGAAAGTGTCACAACACCCAGTTAAGCGAAGGACAACAGTCTCCAGTGGACCCATGTGGCCTTAAAGGAGGAACAAAGAGTGCTGACAACAGTTGTTTATCATGGAAGAATTTTTGTTGTTCCAGTCAGCTTTGACCTTGGCAGGCCTTCAGCTGGTGCCAGTGCGATAGCTGCATGAGTGAAGACGGTGAATGTTTATGTTTAGTGTGAACAGCTGCATCCAACTTTTACAGTTGGTCAAATGTCCGTCACTGGTCACCAATTCTCTCAATTCCCATTCTTCTTCTCAAAGATCTTACCCATTTCAAAGCTATGAGCTTCTCCAAGATGTTATCCATATTGGGTTTAATAAACACAGTCTGAGTATTCACAGTCCTGCCCATTGTCTATTACAGGGGTGTCGAACTCCAGGCCTCAAGGGCCGGTGTCCTGCAGGGTTTACATATTACCAAGCCTCTGGAGAACTTCAAGACATATTGAAGAGGTCATTTGGGACTTAAATCAGCTGTGTTGCATCAAGGACACATCTAAAACCTGCAGGACACCGGCCCTTGAGGCCTGGAGTACCAGGGTTAGGGTTAGGGTTAGACCCTATCTTGGTCTATCATGTCGGCCATCCTTGTGGGATTTTGAACAGCTGTAGCCGGTTCTTGTTCTTCGATAAGCCAGGTCCAAGCCGGCTCCAATCATCCAGAACTCTGTTATCATGTTTCTGAATTGGTAGATGTCATTCAATGTCCTCAATTGAGAGTGTCGGCAGACACAGGACGCAACCAACCATCGAGTATCCGACAGTAAACGTCTCAGCAGGACAATCGGACTCTCCCAGGCCCAGGAGGATTTCAATTTCGTTACGGAGCCAGTTG